CAGTTTCTGCTGAAAAATCAGTTGATAGCCTTGTGGAGTTTCTCTTAAACATAACTTTTTGTTTCTCTCTTACTGCTTTTACAATTATCTCTTTAGCCTTTGACATTTTAATTATGTGTTGTGGTGTTGAGCTTCTTGAGTTTATCTTCTTAAGGGGCTCTACGTGCTTCATGAATCTGAATGTCTGTTTCCTTCCCTAGATTAGGGAAGTTTCCAGCTATAATTCTTCAAATAAATTTTCTACCACCTTCTCTCTTCTCCTTCTGGGACCTCTATAATATGAATGCTTGTTCACTTGATGCTGTCCAACAGATCACTTAACGTAACCTCATTTTAAAAAATTCTTTATTTTTGGGGGGCGCCTGGCTGGCTCAGTTGATGGAGGATGTGACTCTTGATCTCCAGGTCGTGAGTTCAAGCCCCATGTTGGGCATAGAGTTTACTTAAGAAAAAGAAATAAAAATTAAAATAAAAAAAAATACTTATGTCTGCTGTTCAGCTTGGGTGCTTTCCATTACCCCATCTTCCAGATCATTCTTCTGCATTCATTAATCTACTTGTGATTCCTTCTAGTGTTTTTTCTTTAAGTTGTATTCTTCAGCTCTGGTTTTTTATATTTTCCAGGTCTTTGTTGAAGTTCTCACTGAGTTCTACTCTTCTCTCCAATCCAGTACCTATCTTTATGATCATTACTTTAAATTCTTCATCAGGCACATTGCTTTTTTCTGTTTCATTTATTTTTTTCTGAGGTTTTGTTCTTCATTTGGGTCATATTCCTTTCTCTCCCCATTTTGCTTGACTTTGTGTTTTTCTATGAATTAGGCAGAACAGCTACTTTTCCTAAACTTGAAGGAACGGTCTTGGTATGTGGTTGTCCCCTATGTAAACTGTATATACCTGGTGACTTTTACTGGCTGGCTGGAGCTGTGGCTGGCATGGGTTGGGGATTGCAGGGTGCTCCATACTGGGGCTGCCCTGGTGGAATGGTTGGAGATTAAGTGGGTGTGGGCTGGGGGTGGGTCCTGAGGCTTTTTGCAGAGGGTGCCCTGGCAGGACAGCTGAAGGTAAATGTGTTCAAGCTGGAGGCTCTCCACACAGAGGATGCTCGGGCAGGACAGCTAATGCTGAAGTGGGTGCCAGCTAGTGTGGTCCCTGGGCTCTGTGCACAGTGGCACTCTGCATGACACCTGAAGCTGAAGTCGTTGTAAGCTGTGGGTGGTCCCAGGGTTCTCTGTGCGGAGGACACCCTAGCAGAATGGCTGAAACTCAAGTGGGGGTAAGCTGGGGTGCTCTGGAGTGTGTGCCCCCTGCTGGGGGCAGCCATAGCTGAAGTGGTTGCTGTCTGGTGGGTCCCTGGGTGCTTTGTGCTGGGCACCAACCAGTAAGGATAATTATAGCTGAAATGGGCACGGACTGGGATTGCCCTAAGGTAGGGTTCTGTACAGATGGTGCACTGGAAGGACAACTGAAGCAGGTGTAAGCCAGGTTGTCCTGGCCGGGCAGCTGGATCTGAAAAAAGGCATCAGCCAGGGGTGCCCTAGAAAGCCATCTGAAGCCAAAGCAGTGCAGGCCTGCAGTGTTCCAGGGTGCTTTGTGCCTGCCTCAGTGTGGCAAGATAGCTGCAGCTGTAATGAGCACTGACCAGGGCTGTCCTCGTGTGCACCACCATGGGGCCGCCTTGGTGGGACAGCTGGGGCTGGTGTGGTTTGGGGGCCCAGGCAGTAGGCTGATAGGACGCCTGGACCCTGCTCCCTTCTATGCTGTCAAGGTGGTGGGGGAACGTAACCTGTGGCACTCACTGGTCCCTCCAACCCAGAGATAGTTAGCAGGGTTCAAGAACTATTTCCTTTATATTCTGGTTGCTCTTTTAAGCCATGGCTTTTATTTTCTGTTGCCCAGGTAGACAAATCTCCTGGTACCTCGTTACTATCCTCTGCACTGCAGTTGGCAGCATCGGGGGTGGGGTCACCCTTTGTTACCACCTCTCAGTCTCTCTCACTGTTCTGTAGGGTGAAGAATAACCCTCAGTTATTCTTCAGGAGGAATTGCCTATAAATAGGTATAGATTTGGTGTGCCTGTGGAAGGGAGTTCAGGATCTTCCTGTGTCACCATCTTGGACTGGAACACTCCCTAGCTGTTTTTTAAACTTTATATGCTAATATATATAGCTAGGACTACATGAGGGCAATATTAGACCCCAAAATGGATTAAGCAAGCTGAATAGCATTTTCTAGATTCAAAAGTAACTCAAAGTTTTTAAAACAAGGTAAATAAAAGGAAAAGTGATATGTGTATGCATCTATTTTATATTGCTATACTAAGGGCATGTATTTAAGAATTGAAGGGAGAGGTGTAAATTCCTCTGAACAGAAATATTATTTATATAAGAAAAGGCTAATCTCTAATACTTTATAGTCCCTGATTGGGAAGAGAAATTTAATGCAAAAGAGAGATTAGAGTCAATCATTTTTGAACCAGATAATGGCTAACCACTCATAAGACACTAATTTAGCAGTATTTTGGTGCTGCATTTTAACTTTTTTCATCCCGTGTGTATGTTGTGTCTGAAGAGCTGGACTAAACAGTTCCCCCCTCACAGAGTTCTGATGCCTTGGTGGGTGAAGGTCATTACAATTTTAACTTTGCAACTAGAGAAACTTGTATATGAGTTTATTATACTGCATTATGCTGACATTAACAGGAGTCTGATATATATAAATCAGGGTGCTAGAATCAATAATTAGGAATATCTGAGCAGGACATTCTTGTCTCTAAATCAGAGTACCGAGAAAGCCATAGTTTTCAGAATATTGCTCAATGAGCACAAATCCAGTAAATATGAAGATAGCAGGAGGGGAAGAATGAAGGGGGGGGAATTGGAGGGGGAAGGTGAACCATGAGAGACGATGGACTCTGAAAAACAAACTGAGGGTTCTAGAGGGGAGGGGTGGGGGGATGGGTTAGCCTGGTGATGGGTATTAAAGAGGGCACATTCTGCATGGAGAACTGGGTGTTATACGCAAACAATGAATCATGGAACACTACATCAAAAATTAATGATGTAATGTATGGTGATTAACATAACAAAAAAGACTGAAAAAAAAAGAATAGACTGATTCTCTTATAACTCTCAGTCATGTCTGGCAGACACCCTGGTTCATAGAGCATACCCCAAGATCTTCTGGTAACCAGCTTATAACTTAGTGATAGACTTGAGGAATAGCCTAGTTTGGGTTCAGAACAAATTAAATCAGTGTTCAAGGTGGCGCATGTTGATGGCTCATTTTAAGCCAGTTTAACCACTTAGACTAGCCTGTCCTTAATTTCTAAATCCCAGTTGCCTGTCTCATTACAGCATGTGAAAGAATATAATAGCACACTGCAGAGATCTAATCAAGACCCTGAAGGAGGCAAAGGATCTGAATGAAAAGCTTACTCCACTGCAACTGATTGAGAGTGGTAGGTGTTGCTCCTCCCAAACTTCTCATAAAGACCTGGTGAAAATTATTGCACACCTTCTTCTATAGCAGTAGCTTAAGTATATACAATCCATTTCTTGTCCTTTGGTGTTGTCTTTATAACTGCAACAGAACAAGTGGTTTTCCAGTTGTTTCATGTAAACTTTTAAATGCCATATAAAATTTACAAATACAATTTATAGAAAGTATTTGTTTTGTGCAAGTTTCATATCAGTATATTAAAATTACTGCACTTAGCTATAATTTTTATAATTTCTTAAAACCTTTCTGATTGTTGGCCTACACCTTCCACAGAGACTTCATATTTGAAAATAGGATCTAAAGCTAATCTGAATAGTGATGCACATCTTATCACCATGCAAGTAAAGAAGCCCATGCAGAGCTGTTTCAGGGTAACTGGCTATTAATTTCTATATAGTGAAAAAACACATTAAAGCTTATGGGATAGTACTGTCCTGGGTCCAGTGGAACATACCTTTGTTTTCTGTAGAGATATTAGGGAACAGAATTTAAACTAGTCTATTAATTTTAATATAGACAAGGGTTTCCAACCTTTCAGAAGAAGAAAAATCCATTTTAGTGTTGTCTAATTTGCGATGCACCCTGCCCTCACAACATTGGTTGTGAAGTCGGCCTGTGCAGCAGAGGTGAGAACCAACGACTCTGCCACACTCAATACTCTCAAGCCTGCAAAAGCATGCCACATACCACTTGTGTCTCTGACGGCATATCCCTTCAGGATAGGGCTCATATTTGAGTAGATACTTGGAAGATACAAAACAAGACCACTAGACACTTAACTGAAGAGCTGATATAGAAGAACCAGTGGTATTATTAATCTGAAGAGAAAATGGAACCACTGAGTTTTGACCAGAATGTTTGCTTTGTTTTTATTTGTAGATTCATTCTGAAGGAGCTGATAAAAAGAGGGAAGAAAAACATCCAGGTAACTTTCGAATGTTTGCTTTGTTTTTATTTGTAGATTCATTCTGAAGGAGCTGATAAAAAGAGGGAAGAAAAACATCCAGGTAACTTTCAGAAGTCTGCAAACATGCTTCAGCAATCTAAGAATAAATTGATGCATGAGATAGGTGTTTATTTTCCAAGAAAACAGTTTAAGACAATTTTATTAATATTTTATACATATGGAACTTATCTCTGAAGTATTGGACTTAAGTATTTCTACATTTTTCTCATTTCATACTGTCAATTTTTGATGTGAAATACTCAAGTTCAAATAACTACCTTAAACTCTTATGCCTTGATATGTTTATTTTCTTTTGATATAACCAACATTGGATAGCAAAGTTATCATATGGAATATTTTACAAAGGCTTATTAGACAGGGAGTTATTTCAGCTCATAACACCTGTAGAATCCAAACGTAAACACAATAAGGTATCAATATAAATTTGAAACCATAACCCTCTCTGAGATTTCACAATCAGAATGACTCTGGCATGCCAGACTAAGTTGTTGGCTGAGTAGATAACAACTTAGCTGAATCAGAAATGAGTAACTTAAATCCTTACATTTACATAAGTGGTCAGTTTTGTGTTAATTTACATACATTTTCCCACTGAAATCATTATCACTTCTGTATTCTTCATTTAATCAGTGCATTTACCTTATTGTGACTTTGTGTTATTTGGAACTTTATGTAGTTCTTGAAATGCCTTTTTTAGTCAAAATAATCTTCTAAATCAATATTTGGATCTAGCAGATCTTCTCCATATGATGAAAGATCGGTCTGATTTAAAATTAAGTTTTCAAATGTTTCTTCTAAGTCAGTTTCACCAATTAAGACAGCTCCCATCATTCGCCCATTCTGCATGACAACTTTGATGTACTCTTGTCCTTTGGTACATCTCAGCATTAATTCATGATCTGAACCTAAGCCCTGTGCGTTGTATTTTCCCAGCAGTACAACCTACAGGTGGGGATAAAAACATGATTCTAGTGAGTACCAAAAAGGAAACACTGTATGTAGTTATACTATGTTGTTACTCTGGAAATCTGCTCACAAAAATTGGGGAGTGTCCCAAAGAAAACATTTGAATGGCACTGCATTTATTGGACAGATGACACCACCACACAATCTCTGAACATTAAAAATATCTAGGATCTGGACTGCATCAGCTTAGAGTCATGAAGAATATGCAAGGCAAAGCACTGGGTTCATCCCTGAGTATGACAGCTATTGGTTCCCCCCACAAAGCAAGAATGAATCTCAAAATGTACTCAAACAGGAAATAAGCCTAGAAGAGACTTTTCCTCCTTAACTATGAAACAGTATAGCACAAGAAGGTAGGTAATGATTAGGAATTAAGACCAGCAATAATACCAGGTACTGATTTCCAAGAAATTTTGTAAAATAATTATTTACATGGTTTTAGTTATAAGACTAACAATCAGAAAAAGGCACTAATTTGCTTATCTATTTTACCTTATAGTTAAAAAATTTTGTTACATGAGCAAAAAGTTCAAAGCTGAAGTCCATGTCAGTAGATTCTCCTAAACTAGCTGCAGCCATGCACTTCGCTGCATACCATCCCATCTGTCTAGCCTGCGTCCACAGCCTCATCTGAAAGAAAAAAGTGTTATGACAAAAGTTTTCATTGTTCTACTTTAACAATACTTTACAGAATTCCTTAAAGGGGTTCACTGTTGACAGTCCTTGAGATTGGCTAGATCTAGCGAGCTAGAGGACTAGTTCGATTGTCTTTGCCATAGAAGCAGTTACCAATCCACACTAACCAAACTTGATTTTGCTATTTGATATTACTGCCTTTAAAATTAAAGGACGATACCAAATCTATGTTTCAATAAACTATTACATATAAATACAACATTTCAGGGTATACCAGGTAAGAATACTAATTAACCAGTCTCCTTTTTCAGAGTAAGTTCATCATCAGAAGTAGAGCTGACAGATTATCACTGAAAAATTCATTCTTCTTCCTAATCCTTAGATTGTGGTGCTAAATCGATGTATTAGTTGGTTGTCCAGCCTCAGGAAATCTTATCAGGTTTCAGCAACTGATGCTGGGAATTTTAAATTCTTCCCTTACATTATTAATTTCTCCTTTACTGTATGTTTATTTCTACAAAGTTTTAGAAATCCCTGATAGAATACTGGCTGTGAAAGTCAAGACATTAACTCTTCTACATATTTAACTTTTCATTTTTATTTATTTTATTAACAGCCTTAACTTCACCTGAAACATAAATGTACACCACCTATTCCATGGCTATTGAGAGAATTAAATAAGCTAACCTACACCCCTGTAACTAATGTCCTTTTGTGTGCAAAAATACTACCACAATCATTTCTAGTAGAATGGATAGATTTTTCAATTCCGTCTCCTGTGTATAAACAGGATCGGTTTGATGAAGTGAAAGGGAGTCTGTGGGAAGGGAGCAGAGCAAACTGAGCACAACACTCGAGAACGGCTAATGGAGGCGGCCGGCAGTGTTACACTGTTACTTAATGTCTACCAACCTCTGAGTCCCTCCAGTTTGGGTCCTGGATCATGGAAAATTAATTAATTAGTGTACTTACTTATTGCTCCTACAAATGAAGACACGAGGTCTAAAACAAGAGACAGCTGTTTATTTTTGGATATTGCCTATAGCAGAGTATGACACATAATAAGGATATAATTTATCCTAGAGGGTTTAAAGTGTTCAAAAAAATCCCACAAACGCCAATTCCTGAGAGTTGAAGACAGATACGCCACAGAATGATTACAGAAAAAAAACTGAAAACAAGCTAGCACTTTAGAAACAGGCCAAAAGCACTCTTCCTATGACTGTTATCTCTGCTGTTTGTAAAAACACACGAAGTACTGAAGTGGCCTCTTAGAATGCATCTGGCCCTTCCGCTACTTCATATTCCACAGTTAATCTGCAGGAGGAAAATCTCTACCTGTGGAGCTGGTCTTTCACCGAGTGTTGCCTGGTTCTTTTATCTGTAACATCTACCTGTGTCTCTACTTCTCCTGAGACCACCTCGCCTACGGCCGAGGTCTGAATATCTTCCTCAATGATTTCTGCTCCACCGTGAGGAGGCGGGCAGCACCGTGAGGGCAGGAGGATGTGGACATCCAGATGGACGGAGTTGTTCAGCTGAGGAAGGCTGTTCGCTACAGGAAACTTTTTCGGTCATAATTCCCACAGAGACAGAACTGGGTCATCAGGATCGCAAGGGGTCATCATCTATACGGTTTATACCTCAGTACGTTATTTATTCAACTAAAGCTGCTCTGTCCAGTCTGGTAGCCACTAGACGCAGGGAGCTATTTAAACTTAAATGTAAATAAAATTAAAATTCAGTTCCTTGGTCTCACTCAGCACATCTTAAGTGGTAACAGAGACATGTAGGCTGGTGACTACCTGACTGGACACTGCAAAGGTATAGAACGTTTCTGTCATCAGAAAGTTCCACTGGACAGTGCTGATAAGTATTTGAAGATGAAAAAGTCATAGCCCATAATTCTTTTTCAATTACAAGACATACCAGTGTGTTCCATCACTATATAATTTACCCCAAAAGGGAAACATTCTTTTTTTTTTTTTTTAAATGTCTAGGATAGCCTCCTACTTAAAGTAGCAAAGTGGGAAAACCAGAAATTTGGATTTGCTGGTAGTGACTCACTCCTTTACCGTCAGATGGAATCTGATACAAGGTGTGATGGTGGATGCCGGCTTACCTGCTGCCACACCGGGCTGGGCCTCCAGGATGCGGTGCAGATGTCACCCGCAGCATAGACATCAGAGAGAGACGTGTGCATGTGAGCATCCACTTTCAGGCCTCCGTCTTCTCCTAGATCAAACTAAACAACATCCCTGATAAGCATACATGGGAAGAAAAATGAAAGGTGTCTTTTTTGTTCTAAAGTAAAAGAACAAGTCAAATTTTTACACCTCGTTATGCTGATCTTCGGTGAGAGAGTAAAAAACAGCTGCCAAGTTTAGACAACTCAGCTGAATTTCCAGGGAATCAAAATCCTACTAGGACAGACCAACTAAAAAATTCTTAGACGTTAAGATCAAGAACACTCAGTAACCATATGATTACCCCACTCATAATTACAATATTCCTCAGTTTTCTGAGCTTCAAATGCTAAAAGGCAGAAAATACAAGATAGTTTCTCTAGTAGAATCATCAACCTTTAGACAAATGAATTGTGCATTATGTCCTATTTATGAAGACACTTACGCTGGGACGTTTACTGCTTAAGGACTTTAGGCAATACGAAATACTGTAAATAAAACATGAATGTAAACTAAATTGTTTTCAGCTTCCTTAAGTTACAGTTTTACACTAAAACAATGAATAGTTATTTATGCTTGAGAATTAGAAATCTCATACTACTTTAAAAATATTCATAGCAGGACAAAATAGTTCACCTTACACTGTTGCCACAGAGGAAAGGTTCTGTATTTGGTGTAACTCCTGTAGCACTGACAATGAAATCACAGCCATATATCTTTTCATTAGTCAATTCCACATATACAGGCCATATTTCTTTAAAACAAACAAACAAACAAACCACCTTCACTCTCAAATGTAATCACCACCAGCTGTTATTAGCATTATATGAATATAATGCCTAGAACAGTGAAAGAAAAAAGCAGGAGAGGACTTTAAAATGTACCTCTTAATAAATTTATAAGGCACATTTGCTTAAACAATTATAATGCAATTAGCATTATCTCCTTGTTTTCAGTATACTTACAAAATTACGGCATTCTAAACATTTTTCCTTCAAATTTAGACAAAGAACTTCCAACAAAATTATTTTAAACTGACAATCACTTTATAAATTATTTCTTTAAAACTATTCTGCTATTATACTCCACTGAGAATTTAGTCCAAATAGACTACTCACTTTTCAGTGTTTTCCCTTACTATTCATATTCCAACTCTATCACTACCTTTTCCCATGGAAAGATTCAAAGAATTCAAAGACAGTGGAATGTCTTATATGCTAGTTCTCACAGGAAGTGTGAAAGAGGGATTAGATCTTTCTTAATCCCAAGTTTACAGATTTTCAATTTGTTTGATTTTGGGGAAGTCACTTCATCTTCTGAGAGTATCGAAGTTTTTTTTAGTTGATAACTGTTTTGATCTGCAAGATATTCTGATTGACGCACAGAGTTCTGGTGGTCAAAGCACCAGGAGCCCCATGTAAAATGTAAAGCTGAATACAAACTATTAGGAAACTTGAAGACTAAGTAATGAAAACAAAATGACTTACATTATTAATTGTTTCATTTTTACTTTTTATGTTTAAATTTCATATGGAAATTAAAGTTTTTTAATATAGTAAGATTAAGTAAGGTTTTTTCCTTTTAAATTACTGGTTATTGTATTTTTTTCCTTATTTTATTACTTACCTTTATCAGTTGTCACTGACTGATTAGAATGGTCTCTGGGAAAAGGCAAGGACTTTTTCTTAGAAATTCTAAATTCTTCCTGAAGGTAGATTTTCTTTACTTCACACATAGTTTCAATATGAATCTTATGAGAAAACTAAAGAAATACTGGTCACCATACAATTCCCAAAAAAATGACTTAGGTTGCTAATGATTATAAAAAGTTACAATACACTTATAGAAACATATAGAAAAAATAATTCTTATAATATAAATGGAAACACACTGGATGCCCCAAAATAAGCCTCTCAATTTCTGTGTGTGAAGGGAGTGAGCAGAAATCCATTCAGAACTTAAGAAAACAACCAGTTGCACTGGCAGGGCATACTTTTAAGTATAAGCCTCAGTGATAATTACAAATATAGTTGTTAAAAAATTACACTGCTAGAGACTATAAAAACCTCTTGAGGGCAAGTCCATGCTGATTTACTGTGATATCCGAGAACCTCAGTAAAGTGCCAAGTACAAAGGAGATAATGTTTAGTGAACCAAACTGCTGAAGTTCTCAGGTTAAAAATACTATTAATCTTTGGATCTGAAGATGCAGGAAGAAGTGATTTTGTATAATTTCTATCACAAAAATTAGATATGCCATGAAGTCAGCTCCTCCAAACTACCCAAGGCTGAAAAGAAATCATACACAGTAATAAGGACTCCATGTATGCTTCTTACAGTATTTAAATATCAGAGCCTTTTAACTATTTAAAAACAAATATCTAATAAATAAAATGAGTAAAAGCAAGTCATCTGTTAATCCAATTAGGGTGTTAAATATGTATTTTATTTAGAATTCATCTAATAATCTTCAAAATAGTATAATGCATGTGAAGTGACCTTTGAAAAAAGATTAACTTAAAATAGGACAGTTATATTCACTGTAGTCCGAGCCTGGAAATCTCTGCCTGGGGAACTAAAAAGAAGGCACGGATCAGTTTTAGATGAATGAATACTCACTTACCTGTGGTAAGGAATCGGGCCAAGTGCCATTGGTCCTGTCTGTCCTAGCATTTTGGATTTTAAGTAAAGTGACCTAGCAGTTGTTTGACTTATTTGTGACCAGTCTTTAACAAATGGTTTAAGAATTTAACATTGCATCTTAGGTTTAATTAGTATATGAACACATACCTCTTTTGTACCTTTAAGATTCAAGCCTTCATGCCAGTCAGGTCCCAAGGCACTGCCCATATTACCAGCACCAGTTTTGGTTTGTTTTCTTCCTGAAGAGATAAACTCAACTCAAAATTCAAATGACCTAAAAACTGCCAGGCAGAGACGTGTACTTGTGTTCTCAAGCTTTTAGGCAATATTATGATTCTCATACGTACATATATACAGCATGACTGAACTAAGTTACCTGTATTACTTTATTATTTTAATATTTTGTGATTTTGTGATATAGAGCTATAAAATGGATAATCTTTCAACCAAGTGTTGAGTATAAACACAGCGTGTTTTGGGGATGTTACGTATATATCCCCAAATGTATGTTAATATGAAGGGTAAGATCTGATAAAAGGTTGATATCCAAAATACATGAAGAACTCCTGCAACTTTGTAACGAAAATACAACCAAAATAAAAAATGGGCAGAGGACCCAGACAGGTTTCCAGAGACATATAGCTGGCTAACAGGGACATGAAAAGATGCTCAACATCACTAATCATCAGAGAAGTGCAAATCAAAACCACAATGAGGTATCACCTTACACTTGTAGAATGGCTAGAATCAAAAAAAGAAAAGAAATAACAAGTCTTGGCGAAAATGTGGAGAAATAAGTTCCCTCATGCACTGTTGGTGGGAATGCAAATTGGTACAGCCACTGTAAAAAAAACAGTATGGAGTTTCCTCAAAAAATTAAAAATAGAATTACCAAAAAAAAAAAAAAATTACCATGTGATCCAGTAATTCCACTACTGGCTATTTATCCAAAGGAAACAAAAACATTATTTTGAAAAGATATGTGTAGCCTTATGTTAACTACAGCATTATTTACAACAAGCAAAATATGGAAGCAATCCCAAGTGTCCATCAACTGACAAATGGATAAAGAAGATGTGGGGGTATATATGTGATGGAATATTACTCAGCCATAAAAAAGGATGAGGTCTTGCTATGTGCAACAACATGGATGAACCTAAAGGGTATAATGCTAAGTGAAATAAGTCAAAGACAAATGCCATATGATTTCACTCATATGTGGAATTTAAGAAACAAAATAAACAATAAAGAGACAAACCAAAAACCAGACTCTCTAAATGGTTGCCACAGGGGAGGTGGATGGGGGTATGGATGAAATATAGGGGATTAAGAGTATACTTATCATGAGGAACACTGAGAAATGCATAGAATTGTTGAGTCATTTTATTGTACACCTGAAACTAATATAACACTGTATGTTAACTATACTTCAGTAAAATTATTTTAAATAAACACATGCAAGAAAAAATATTTTTATTATTCAGTTGTATACCTAGTTCTTTTATGTGCAATTCTAGCCTCTGGTTTTTATTATTTTTATTATTATATTTTATTAAATATAAACTAAATTTTAAAACAACAAAATAAATAAAACAAAGCAGAAACAGGCTCAGACATAGAGAAGTGGTGGTTGCCACAGGGGAGGCACTGGTGTGCAGGCAAAATAGGTGAAGAGTAAAGTAGTAAGAAGTACAAACTTCCAGTTATAAGTAAGTCATGGGGCTGTAAAATACAGCACAGGAAATATAGTCAATGGTACTGTAATAAGTTTGCACAGTGACAGGGTAACTAAACCTACAGAGTGGACCAAGTCATAATGTATAAAAATACTGAATCACTGTTGTACACCTGAAACTAATATACTGTAGTCTGTTACAATTCAATAAAAAAATTAGCCTGTACTGTTTTTAAACATTTTGTCAATTTTTAGCACGCTCAAGACATACAGAATTCTTTTCGAACTGTATAAGCCAAAAGTTAAAAAAAAAAGCTCTTAAAATAAAAAACTAGGTTTGTTGTATTTTTTCTTTTTTTCTAAAGATTTTATTTATTTGCTAGAAAGAGAGAGCGCGTGTGCATGCACACACAGACACAAGCTGAGGGGTGAGGGAAAGGGAGAGGGAGAAGCAGGCTCCCTGCTGAGCAGGGAGCCCCGATGCAAGGCTCTATCCCAGGACCCTGAGATCATGACCTGAGCCGAAGGCAGATGCTTACTGACTGAGCCACCCAGGCACCCCTGTATTTCTTTTAATTCATTGCATTTTTGTAAAATTATCTTAGCTCCTGTCCAGTTGTATCATCTGTTTGCAAAGATGCAGATGGCCTTGATTCATTTAATTCACTTTAAATTTCCAGTTTTAATTATACATATTTGTGTCATTTAAAAAAATCCTGGAAAATCTAAGTCATAAGATATAGAAATAAATATTATCTATATTTCTGTCTCTCAACTATAATATTTTGCTCAATGTTCTTATAGCCTTATTCTATATGGCTAAAAAGCTAAAGAGTTTCATCCGTGAATTAATGAACAAGATGCTGCATTTACCTTCAGTTGTATACCTAGTTCTTTTATGTGCAATTCTAGCCTCTGGTTTTTCAGCAATGAGCTTTGAAGTCAAGAATTCTGCTGCTCCTGCGTCGAAGAAAGTATTCCCAATAGCTTTATCTTTAATGGCCCAAATGATTTCACAGCCTTCAATTTCATACCTAAAAGGAATATTAAAGTTACTCAGAGCAATTCTGAAAGTCTGAATAGAAATCTCTGTATTTGCAAATAACAATTATCTCTGAGGGCAAAAGTAAAGAAAGTATTTTACGACAAACTGAGCAAGAATGATTATAAGGAGCAATGTAATACTCCGTCAGGTTCAAAAGAGTTAAAGTAGAGTAAGTAATAAAAGAAATTTAACCAGTTTATTGAAAGAACATAAAAATGACAAGCATATGTAACTTGAGTATCAGGTAAAATTTCATTACAGTGAGCATCACTTCTAAGTGTTCAATTTCCCCAACATAGTTATTGTATGAATGTTCCCCAGGGTTCCATAAATGAGCAGTGCTTTTTTGACGGGTATAGTGTAATCAATAATGGATGGATGGATGGTATACAGTTAAAATACTGAAAATACCTCACTTCTTTGGTAACAAGTATTTTGTGTACTCAAAGCACAACATTATGGAAGGAGATAGAAAAAGGAGAGAATCAGAGTTATCAACTAAAATTTTGACTCTTATAAAGGAACCACTACTCACAATCCTCTCCCTTTGCCTCAGAAATTTCCAAGCCATCCAGCCAAAGAAAGATCCGGTTCACAGAAAAATCAAGGAAAAAGAAATGGCCGTGGTGTATACAGGCCAACACCACTCATGAGAAGGCCGGAGCTCCTGAACACTGTTTTATCTCTAGGTTTGGTCACTGAGAATGTGGTTTGCTTAGTATTCATTTCACCAAGTCCCTGAAGTCCATTAGATTTTTCTGCTATTAATACTTGTTTTGGTACAACTGATGAACTGGGACAATCCTAGACAAACAGGGTATACGGTCATCCTCATTATACTAGGATATTATTTGAACCTGTAGTGATACTAAGAGTATCGTGTGCTAAGAACTGTTAACGCTGACATATGGTCAAAGTATCACCATCTTTATGTCACAGATGCTATAACATAACACGTGGACTTTTCAAGCTAATCAATAAGTAGATGATATAAAAAAGAAGGTTTAGTACATCTGACTTCAGGTCACCTGAAGTCAATATGGTCAAGGATCCCCCTGCCCCATCTAATGAGCCTTTATTTTTCCTGCTCCCCTATGGCAGAAACAAATATTTATTAGTTACCAAATTTCACATTCTTTGGAGAATATTCTATTTTATCCTGCTCAGGTCATATAGGATTGCTGATGAGCAGAAAGTAGAATATACAAACAATCAGTAATAAATTTCGTATCTTAATTTACATATAGGCACATCATTATTATGAAATACTTTCTTTAGCTTTTATAAATTAGAAATTCCTCTACCATTTTTTAAATTTTTAAGTAATATAACAGTATAATGCGTATCAGTATAGCTTAAAATACTGATGCTTGACTAGTAGGCCACAGTAATAAGTAACCATGAGAACTCCTGTACATGCCCTACCTCACAGACACCCTGTATTCCCCTTAGCCTATGAACTATGCCCTCAGCAAGATGCATCACCACAGAAGCATCCTCACACATAGCGGAAATACTTTCATTTTTAAAACCACTCTTAAAAAAACAGTGAAATAAGGTTTTGTGAAATTATTTTTTTTAAAAAGTCTTTTTAAAAAGGAAAGGATTAACCTACACTAAGTAAAGAAGAAAAATACACTGAAGAAAATGAGCATTTGCCTTGGGGAAACATGAGGGCTATCGAAGAGCAGAAAGGGTTTGTGTGTGTCATTTCTCATGAGATGACAAACACCTGATCATCAGTGGACCTAACCTGAGACAACAGCATTATATGCGGGCTTTCTTTAGGAGTTTTATTGAATTATATAGTCTATCTTCAACCTAAAGAAAATGAGGAACGGGATTAAATGCTGTAAGACTGAACATTTCTGAATGTAGAAAATCTTCCAATGTAAAGAATAATAATATTAAGTTATATTTTCGGTGATCGCTACTGGAGAAAATTTGTCATGTGCCTCCTCCTTTCTCTTGCCCCTGTTTGGTTTTGACTCTCTAGTTTGTTTGTTTGTTTTTCTCTGCAGTTCTCCATAGTGCCACAAACTTCATAATTATAAGGATGACTGCCAACCCTAGTACTCAGGCAATTTAGGAACCCTTATAATGCTTCCAATGGGATCCACCACCCTGTCAGAAAAAGGAGCAAAAACCTAGTCCAAGAGTTAGAATGGACAGGGGCTTTGGCAAATTCATCATTTTGATACAAATTTGTCCTCTTTATAGTTGGGCTCAACTTTCTGGCCTTAAAATGTCCAGACTATTCCATGTCAGCCATTCGCTGGAAGATAAAATCACAAAGAAAATCTATGCTCTGTAGACCATAGCAGGATATTGATTCCTCAATGTTCTTTGAACTTGAAATATCTTAAGATGGTATTTTATATTAATTTATGCATTCACCATTTTCCAGCTTCCAAAAAACAAAGAGCTGAGAGTACCACAGATCTTCAAATAGGGAGTCATGGGCCAGACAGGTACCTATATAAGTGAGTGAAGCAGGATGGGTATAAACAATAAAAAGTGGTGGGGGCTGTGACTAGAAATCTCTAAAACTGTGCACATTTAAATTGTTTTTCAAGATAGCACATGCTTACCAAACACCTCTAGGGGTCACACCTCTCCAGTCACCTGTGTGTGACCCCTTGAGACAGAAAACATTCCCTAAACTCATGTTTGGCAATGACATTTCTGCAACTATGAATTCCATGAAAGCCAAAAATAGAAAGTGGACATTTTCCTTGAAAATATATGAAAACCAATTACATTTATCTTTGAATTTCAGAATACCAAGATGTTTCTAGTCTGCCAATAATCACATGAATCACAGAGCAGTGTTTAAATAGGATTTAAAATATATACTTACACCAGTTCAAGTGCAATGCCGCCATTCCCTATGATCATTATTCTTTTAGCCTTAGTAAGCTGTTTCTGAAATTCCTGTATTAAAAAGAAAAGGAGGCAGTGTTCTGTAAGTAGTGGGCAAAACTTGAAGCAAGAGGCTTCAGTGGTAATATTCTTAAAATGTAGAAATTTTATCTGATTTACAAAGGAACAAAATAAATCGACTTTCCCACTCTGCCAGGATGCACCCTGCCAATATTACAAATGCTCTCTGTTTCACCCAAGCTGCAATATCTCTGATTTTCCTTGCCTTTTAGGTCATCACATTCAGAGTGGTTCAGAATTCCAGCAAGCGGCATGACCTCTAGTTCATCACATTCCTAACTCCTTGATCAAATCAATTTACTAACAGGACATTGATCTGTATCCTACATATTATTCCTTTTCACCTAGTCCTTCAGTTGACACTTTCCCTGGAATTCATCAACACTCAAAACTTGCATGAATGAGCAGCACAACAGCTTGGTGGTTAAGAGTCCCTGGCTCTAGGAGTTAGTAACTGCCCGCAGTTAGTAACTTGGGCAAGTTGCTTAACCCCTCTGTGCCTCCGGTTCTTCAACTATAAATGGAAACAAGAAGTGACTCTATCTCATTAGGCCTCTGTAAGCATTACGATAATGTAAATAAAGCTGTTAGGAGCAGGCACAATAATGTTTAACATCAGAAAAAAACGTTACGTTCTTATCATTACAAGACAACTAATTGATGCCTCTACCACCTTCCTCCTCTGCCCCCTAAAAAAGCTCACAATGAGCTTACTATTGAAATTGACTTGTTTAAAATGCTACAAGAAAAAAAAAGTTAATTTTAGTTTGTCCTTCACTGAGGACAGTAAATAAGAAAGATCTGTTAAAAACACTGGACATGGAGATAAATGGCATGAGTTTAAATTGTACTTCTGATAGACTTAATAACTACTTTAGTATAGGTAAAAACTTAATTTCTCCATCAGAGTTTCCTATTTGTAAAATGGGAGTAATACTGTCACACAGGATTATCATAAGCAGTTAGCTTATGTATGTAGAGGGCCTAGCTGGAACACAGTTATGAACTCAGTCTTTGATAACAGGAACCTGAAATGTTCACAATTGAATTATAATTTATAATTAAGTTCTTCTAGTTTTCTCTACATTCCTATTCCATTTAATTAAGAACAGGCTAAAAGAAAACATCAATTTTCAAGAATATAAAATATTATTAATAAATGTAAAATTATGACCCTATGAGATAGAACTACAACAGTGAGCTTAAGATAAGACAGAATATTATGATCAGAAACCAGAAAGAGTTTCTTGGCAAGAAGGGTCAACGAACCCCAAAGCCCTGAAATCCATTACCAGAAGTTGTAGAAGGTTCCACAGAGTTTCACCTTATTGAGATAGTTTACTATAGTTCCTGAGCACAACAATAAACCAAATGAATTTTTCAGTTCTGGGATTCTGTCATGATTCTGTACCACAAAGATCTCTGAATATAAATTTTTTTGCTAAGGGGTAAGTTCAGTAAGTTTGGGATATGCTTTACCTTTTTGGAAAAAGATCATTATTTAGATTGCAAATCACATATTCCCAAATTACAGTAATGAATGTGTGTGTAAGTTATAACCTTCAGCTTAGTTGTTATATCTGGGATACAATGCACAATGGAAAGAACAAAGAACATCAGTATGAACTAAAAAAACAAAAATTATCAACCAAAGCCAAACTGAAACTGGCAATAACATTATAACTACTTTCTGGTTTATGGATCATAAAACAAACGTCTTCTATAATTAAGGAATTAACATTGTAAGTGGAATATTTTGATTCAAATATAGAAAAGTCTAAGAAATATTCACATTCCTTTCCCATGAACCAACCTCAAAATGTTACCTGAGCACTGTCTGTATCACGGATTCCTAATACGTAAGGATTTCCTTCACATATCAACTTTGGTTTAGCTCCAGCACACAAACAGAGTTTCTTATACACATGCTGACTGCCATCTCCTGTTAAAATGCACTGTAAAAACACAGAGCAAGGAAGGGGAGAGGAGAAACATATTCATCCATGGGTACAATTTCATTTTAAATAAAAAACAATATGAGGAAAGCAAAAAATACATTAAGGTTGCCTCTTGGTGGCACTCAATACTTTGTTGCAGCAACTGCAAATCAAAGTAAACATGAGAATGCATTCAGTCCAGTCATTCACCATCATTTCAGGGCCATGAACCATTCTGGGAATCTGGCAAAAAGTAGTCTTTCTCCCCTGGAAAAAAAGGTACATTCATACCAGATTTTGCATAAAACATAAGGAATCTCATGATATTCAGGGAGGTATGTTGACCTCAGGTTAAAAACTAAACATTCAGAAATTTTAAAATTGAGCATTCTGATATTATACCTGGGGCAGGCCTTAATGAGTTACTTCTGATCTCAGTGGAAGTTACTGTAGGAAGATAGTAATTCTAATGGCATCAGACCTTAATAGCTGGTATGGGTACAGGAGGGGTACAGTGTGGTAGGAAAGGGTACATTATCTAAAAACATTAGAAGTGCTAAAAAACAGTATTTATATTAAGTACAAATAACAATCACTTCACCAGCAAACTGTAAAAACACATACAAGAACTCTTCATTGGCTACTGTTACGTTTTTGGAAGTAGACATGAAGATAAAACACATAATCTCTAATTCATTAAAGAATATAAAGGACAGGTAATACAAACATCTCACTTAGGACACTTCAACATGGTAATGGGCGGCACTCTGATTTAGTCAACGCCCAAATATAAATTCCCTCACAATTTATTAGTACACATTTGAGCACACTTCTATTTGCAAATTAACTGACATGGATGTGATATAGGATATGTACAACTATAAACATTAGAAATTTATCCTGGTTTTAGGATTCAGATTTTTTTCCCATAAAATTCAGTACTTGTTTATTTTTTCCTGTCAAATTATTTGTGTTCTGAATGTATTATAAGTGTGTTTTCTCCCTAAGGGAGAACTCACAAATGAGAGCTGCTCTAGGGAAACAACGGCAAACTCCACTTCCCATCTTGCCTGAAGCTCATCTGAGGATACTGTTACCATCTGACAACACCCTGTTCTGAGCCCGCCTTATTCAGTCCCGTGTCCAGTGGGTTACTGGGTCCTGCTGAGTTTACGGTAGAAATCTCACTCATATCTGGGCCGTTCTTTCCACTACACTGTCCCTGTCTTAGTTCAGGCCTTCTACCATTCTGGATGATTGCAACCACCTTCTGATTTGGTTGCTGGCCACCAGCCCCTCACTCCCCGCCACTTCATCCTCAACACTGCTGTCAGATCTACCTTCCTAAGAGTATCCATGGTATCACCGTGCCTCCACCTAAAATCTCTTCATTTCTCCATTGATTACAAAATAAATTCTTGGCATGATATAAACAGCTCTTCACAATCTTATTTCTTTGGCCTCGTCTGCCAATCTCCTTGCCTTGTCCCCACTGCAGTCCCTCTGACAGTGTCACTCTTCTACGTGTCCCTTTCCTTTGCTTTGGGCCTTTGAATAAGCCACCTCCTTTTCCTACAATGCCCCTAATTAAAAACTCTTAATTCACCCACCTTTTAAACCCTATTCAAATATTACTCCCTCTGTGAAGTCCTCGCAAGTCTCTAATATCAGAGATTATTTCATTATTATCACCAAGTCTTTGATATCAAAGAGTTCAGTGACTGTGTTTTTCATGTCCCTATAATTATACGTGTGCATGTGTACATTCGCTACGACACTGGGCGCGCCCAGGATAGGTTCACTGTAATATTCCTGTTGTCTCCCAGCACTTACCGTGGTGCCCAGAACACAGCAGGCACTATATAAATGTTAATGCTCACGTGAAATGTGAAACCTAAAATGTTAAATCAACTAATTGTATAATCCCAATAAACCCACAGTAAGTATAAAATTTTCCCAGTAATAATATAAATCAGTGTCACTAAACTTTATATGCTAGGGACCTTAGTGGTGTTAGCAGTACAGACAGGGTCAAAAGAAAGCAGGCAAAAGCTCACTGAGACTGAACAGTGGGCTGACATTAAGAAAGAAATCCTCGGGCACCCAGGTGGCTCAGTTGGTTAAGCATCTGCCTTCGGCTCAGGTCATGATCCCGGGGTCCTGGGATCGAGTCCCACATTGGGCTCCCTGCTCGTCGGGGAGCTTGCTTCTCCCTCTCTCCACTCCCCCCCCACTCATGCGCTCTCTCTCTCTCTCTCTCTCAAATAAATAAAATCTTAAAAAAGAAAGAAAGAAAGAAATCCTCTTACGTGTTCTTTACTCTTTAGTTGTTTTACTCCGGATTCTATAATCTTAATGTTGGGAAAGCGATTTTCTAACATGGTTTTCGGTTGCTCTTCAACATCAAACTCCTCCAATACTTTAGAAACCTGTATTAGATCAGAAAGGTAAAAATATATGTTTAAAAAACATTTCAAGAATTTTAAATAATAAAAATACTTTCATTTGTTTTTATACACTACTTCATATTCATAAAACAAAGTCGGCCAATTGCACTACATACAGTGTAAAGAGGGCTAACTCCACATTTTAAGACTTGAACTCAAATATTAGTCCTACCTCTCGGGCAAGTCAGCCAGGTCCCTGCGCCTTAGTCTCCTAGCCTGGAAAATGAGGGCTGACTCTACTCACTTCTGCATACTTTTACCACACACCTTGTTGATTTCCTTATCCTTACAGTTTTCTCTGTCCACTTACTAGCCAACTTTATTGTGATCTAGCCTTTAGACTCTTTCCAGTTGTCTAAACCCAAGAGCATCCTCTTGGACTCACTTCTCTTCCTGTGCAGCCATGACTCCGCTGTAGATCATTTCATGTTTTGCCCAAACTTTTACTTCCTTGCTTTCTTTTCTTTAACCATCAATTACCCTGAAAACCCCAACCACAGACTGAACTGCCTCCTTTTTCCAGTCCTATACCCAGTCTGCTGTGGAAGGACCACACCTTGCAGACTGGCATTTGACCTCAGCTGCCCCCTAAATTCTACTGGGAAATCCTACTACATGGCCCTAGTGGTTCTCAAACTATTTAGTCTCAAGACCCCTTTACACACTTACAGATGACTGAAGACCCCAAAGAACTTTTGTCTATGTGAGTTAAACCCAGTGATATCTGCTACATTAGATATGAAAACTGAGAAAAATGTAAAATATTTAATTCAGTTAGAAGTATAATCAATACATGTTAAACAAATATCCTTTTAATAAAAAATAACAATCTTTCCAAAACAAAAGAAATTAAGAAGAATGGCATTGTTTCACATTTTTGCAAGTATCTTTACTGTCTGGTCTTAATAGAAGATCTGCTTCTCCATTCAAACTATTACAATATGTTAATCTGGTTGAAGTATATGCAGCCTTTTCAGAGAATGTATATTCTTTGATGTTACACTAAAACTCAACAAACGTGTTTTCTTAAAGATTAGTTGCTATGTAGAATTTGAAACCATATCAAAGAAATTTTCATCCTGTTACTGTGGAATCCACTGGTCTATCCTGCACTTTGAATGGATCTTGTAACATCACATTCGTCATCTGGACAAACAGTGGTTCCCTAAGTTATGGAGATCTGCCCAATGTTAACACATTTTATATCACTACAATATCAAAAGATCACATTACTATCACCAGCAATCTCATCAGGAAAGTCTTCAAGTACCACAGGGCTCACAGTGAGGAAATGAGTTTTCCAAAACTCTAATTCTGGCTGGAAAGCTCTAATTTTGTCCTGTTGGCAACAAATACTATCACCTGTGTTCCTTGAAGTGACGGGCTCACTTCACTCATTTTCCAAATATGAATTACTATAGTGTGTCAGTTGTTCTTTCAAGTAAAGCTGGTGTCCGCAAAAGAGAAATTAGTTCCTCTTGCAACTCAGCAATAGCACAACTGCTTTTCCTTGAGACAACACTACTGTGCGCAGAACAAGTGCTTTATGCCTACAACCCATTTTATCATACAAAGTATTAAAAACACATACACTTATGAGTCAGGATTTAATAAAACATTTTTTACTGGCTCTAAATGATTTAACTGAGTGTGTGGCAGTGAAGAATACAATGACCCCAGTCCAGTTTAGCCACTGTTGCTCTTATCCCATCGGTGCTTAAGTGTCAACATAGTGAGAAGAGTAACATCAAGTAACATCTTCCATCCCTCAGTAATTTTTCCGAAAGTTCATCATTCTAATGTTTCACAAACACATTCCACCCTCTGCATTCCCAGCAAATCACCTTACTTCTAGGCTTAAAGAGACTACTAAGAACTCTTACTACTTCTTTCCCACCATCTATACATTTCTCAGCTACAGTCTGCCTTCCTTGACCCATTTCTATTTTCAAGGTGAATCCAGTAATCTGTGCTCTATATCCCATCATCTCTCACCTCCTCAAAACTTTTATTATATATTCCTTGTTTTTCTTCATCTTCATTCCTACTGGCTTCTTAATCTCAACAGGTAAACATACTAAAGTGTTTTCCACCTTAAAAGAATAAAACTCAATGCTAGTCCTCATGTCCTCTATTTGCTGCCACCCTATCTTTTTTCCCTTTGCAGCTAAATTTCAAAAGAGAAAAGTTTATGGTTACTGTCATTTTAGAGTTACCCCCTACTAATTTCTGAAGATAGTGTAAACTGTCTCAAAGTCACCAATGATTTACTAGATATGGGCACTTTTGAGTCCTTGTGTTGTCTGACTATTCCCTTGGATCTGACACCTTTGACCACTCCTCTTTTTTTTTTTTTTTTAAATAAAGATTTTATTTTATTTATTTGTCAGAGGAGAAAGAGAGACAGAGCGAGCACAAGCAGGGGGAGCTGCAGGCAGAGGGAGAAGCAGGCCCCCCCCCACGGAGCAGGGAGCCCGATGCGGGACTCAATCCCAGGACCCTGGGATCACGACCCGAGCTGAAGGCAGACGCTTAACTCACTGAGCCACTCAGGTGTCCTGTGACCACTCCTCTTAATTAAACATTTGCCTTCCATGGCTTCAGGGATACTTCTCTTTCATAGTTTTCTTCTTCAATCTAGACTAATAAGGGTGGCCATTTCAGGTCTTCCTTTCTCTCTGATCTCCCTTTAAATGTCAGTGTTCCACAGGACACTGCTGCTGGGCTCTTTCACTGTATGTATTTTTCCTGGGAGACTGCATCCCATGCATATGACTCAGCTGACACTGAGACAATAATGAATACTAAATTTCTATCTCCAATTCAGTGTTCTCACCTGCTGAAAATGCTCCAAAAGTTTGGCTTCATCTAAATTTGGATAAAATACAATTCCATACCATAGCATACAAGCCCATCATGGTCTGGCCCCTGCCTACTGGTTCGACCTCACACTTTACACTCCAGCAGCACTGAATTGGTACCTGTTAGAGCATATTACATAGCAATATACTTTCATGCACTTTGGCACATGCCTGCCTCTATTCAACCTCTTACAAACATGGGAAAAACTACTATTCTTTCAGTCTCAGTTTCAATGCACCCTCCTATGTAAAGCCTTCTGGATTCTCAAAGGCAGGCTTTGGCACTCATTAATAATACATTTATAAAAATAATTATGCATATATTGCAATATGACCTCAGTTTTGATTTTTTTTGCCACTATCAGTATAATTACCGTATTGTATGATAACTATGTTTTGTAGATTTGTTGCCCCAATAGAAAGGAATTATTCTGAGAAAGTGCTACTCATTAACCATGAGGGCTATAGAGCCAAAGGGCCTGTATTCAAAACGCATCTATACACATCTCAGAAATTTACCCAACCTCACTGTGACTCGTTTACCTCATCTGTAAGTGGGGATAATATATGAATCTAATTCATAGAGTTACTTAAGGATTAAATTAATACATTTAAAACATTTAGAAGAGTGTCTGGTGCATAGTAAATACTCCAGAAGTAATGTGAATTATTATTAATCTTTTTTCTCTTTAGAAATTACACAAGCCACAAAAACATGTTCTTTAACATTAAATAAACAGTACCTAATATAAAATAAAATGTGCCTCTTTACCGTTCTCTGAATCTCACACTACCCCACCACTACTGCTGTCCCCTGACTCCAGAGATAACCAGTAGTGATTTTTTGTGTATGTTCTATACTTTCAACCTAACATACTGGTTGATATATAATATGAATGCTCAATAAATGATAAAAAGGATGCAATTTCCTACTTCTGAATTTTAAGAACTGACATTTGCATAATATTTGTTACTCTAATGCACTTTCACATATATTAGTATGTCTTAAACTCCCAACATATACAACTTTAATACTTCCTAAGCAAGGAAGGTATTATCTTAATATTACAAGTGAAGCAACTGAGATACAGAGATCTGCCAAGGCTATGCAGCCAGGTAAATAAGTTAGGCCTAGAACCCAAGATTTTTTTCTTCTATTGTACAAAATTTACAAAATTAGCAAAACTAAACTCAGGTCTTACAACTGTGGAACAGTTACACCAAATTCAGTCTTCTGGAAAAACACTTATAAGATGCAGCTATACATCTCTGTCTTATGTATGTGCTCTGAGCCTATAATTGAATATATATATTTTTTCTTTTATGAGATTAACAGCCATAATTTATTATCTGGTTCTCTCAATCCCGTAAGTCCTTTGGCTGTACCTAGGTAGTAAGATATCTTAGGTATCTCTAAGTAGGTTATAAACAAGCAACATCTTACACTAAATTACCCTTGGTCTTAGCGGTTTACAACATGAGAAAGATTTTATTATCAGGATGTAAGGGAAAACTTGTATTAAAGACTATGGTAGTATTCTTCACCGAAGTATGGGAAAAAAAGATTTACTTAATTATTTTGCATAGGCATTATAACATAATTATAGCACTACAGTATGGGCATAATTTATAATATGTAAATATACATATATCAGGATATAAATCAAAACTTTTTGATGTGAGGTACCACATTAAAAATGTTTAGAGATCACTCTTCTATGATACTATGACCCAAATGATTTCAGACTCCTAATGTAATGTTATGATGTGTGTAATGTAAATTCATGGAACCACAAAGTGTTCTGAGATGCTTATTACACATTTGAAACATTAATTATCTGCAAGTGTAAACTTGGCCAAGAAGCACTTTTCTGATTTGCAACACACACATTTATTCACACACAACTGTATACAACTGTACACATACAGCTGTGTATATACATATATATAATGATATCCAAATATGTTTGTATTCATATTTACATTTGTATAACATTTTTCCTCAATAGAACTTTAAAATTTTCTGAAAAGTAATTCTGAGTGGGAGGAAAAGATGGGAAGAAAATAAAGGACTAGAAATTCAACATCATTTGGGTGCTTTCAGTATTCACTATAATTCTAAACTTTGAGCTTTGATTTTAAAATGACTATCAAAAGAACATTTGTCATTTTAAACATTTAAAAACTATAATTACACTACTATGCAAGTTACTGAAATTTAAAAACATCAATACTAAGAAAGTTATACAAAAGTTCTTACCTGCTTGAAATTTGTAACCGCTTTAATAACAGGAGAAGCTGTTACCAGGAGAATATCTTCTGATGGAAACTGAATAGCCAACTTATTAAAAAAAAAAGTTGGGAGAAAATATATGATAAATAACTTAGGTACTTTAGGTATTAATATATATTCCTTGGAGGGTGAGACAGGGATAATGCAATTTTAATAATATTATTAACCTAGGAAACTATAAACTCACTTTTCCTCATCTAAAGGTCTCCATTATTCTGTGTCTTCTTATTTATGGGGTAGTGGTGAGTAATGTCCAACTCTGATATTGATAAAACAAGTAATACATTTACACTAAACACTAACAAAGCCTCCTGAACAAGAAAAGTGATACAAAGAGGTATTCCTTATTTACTTAAACTACATTATATACCAATTTAAAGTTGTCATGCAGAGAATGAGAAGAAAATATTTTCCTAAATAACAGTTAAACAAACTTCCATTTATTTTAAAAATAATATATTCATTTCCCTGCAGTAGGATAATATTAGAGCAAATCCTTACTAATAAATACTCAGAATCTTAGCCTGACTTTTCCCAAGTGCTTTGCCATTGCTATTCTGCCTCTTCCAAATGCCCAACCAGTATACACTCTGGGAAAACAAAACCATTTTAGTATTGGCTTCAACAGAATTTAGAGGCTTAACTTGCTCTTTTTTTCATGATTTTCCTCTGGCTACAACCTTTCTCTCACTTTAAACTTCAAAGATTTTAAGATTTTATTTATTTGACAGCGAGAGAGTGAGAGCGTAAGGCAGGAGACGGAGAGGGAGAAGCAGGCTCCCTGCTGAGCAGGGAGCCTGATGCGGGGCTCCATCCCAGCACTCGGGGATCATGACCTGAGCCGAAGGCAGATGCTTAACCAACTGAGCCACTCAGGTGCCACTTGAAAGAATTTTCTTAAATCACACTCTGGTTCCTCAACTCCACCAAGTTCTATTTCTTTCCCTACTACACCATTAAAACTGAGCACATTCAGCCAAAAAACTATCAGAATAAACAAATGAATTCAGTAAAATTTCAGGATACAAAATTGATACACAAAAAGTGGTCGAGTTCCTATCAGAAAGAGAAATTAAGAAAATAATCCCATTTACAACTGAATCAAAAAGAATAAAATACTTAGGAATAAATTTAACCAAAGAAGTCAAAGACTTACATTCTGAAAACTATAAGCCACTGACAAAAGAAATTTAAGAAGACATAAATAAATGGAAAGATCTATCATGCTCGTGGATTTAATATTGTTAAAATGTCCATACTACCCAAAGTAATCTACAAATTCAATGCAATCCCCATCAAAATACCAGTGGCATTTTTCACAGAACTGGAAGAAAGAATTCTAAAATTTGTGTGGAACTGCAGAAGACCCCAAATAGCAAAGCGATCTTGAGAAAGAAGAACAAAGCTGGAGGTATTATGCCCCCCGATTTCAAACCCCTACTACAAAACTGTAGTGATCAAAATAGCATGGCACTGGCACAAAAATGGACACACAGATCAATGGAATGGAACAGAAAGCCCAGATATAAGCCCACACATAGATGGTCAATTAATCTCTGATAAAGGAGGTAAGAATATACAATGGGGGAAAAAAGTCTCTTCATAAATAATGTTGGGAAAACTGGACAGCTTACATGCCAAAGAATGAAACTGGACCACTATCTTACGCAGTATACAAAAATAAATTCAAAATGGATTAAAGACTTGAATATAAGACTTGAAACCATAAAACTAGAAGAAAACATAAGCAGTAAGTTCTTTGACACCAATCTTAGCAATATTTTTTGAACCATTTTCTTCAGGCAAGGTAAAACAAAAAGCTAAAAAGCTAAAACAAATAAATGAAATCAAACTAAAAAGCTTTTGCAGAGAAAAGGAAACCATCAACAAAACAAAAGGACAACGTACTGAATGGGAGACAATATTTGCTAGTCACATATCCAATTGGGGTTAATATCAAAAATATAATAAAAAGTTACACAACTTAATATAAAAAAATTTAAAAATGGGCAGAACTTGAAAAGACATTTTCCCAAAGAAGACATACAAATGGCCAATAAACACATGAAAACATGCTCAACGTCACTAATCATCAGGGAAATGCAAATCAAAACCACAATGAGCTATCACCTCACAACTGTCCAATTGGCTATTACCAAAAAGATAAGAAATAACAAGTGTTCCTGAGGATGTGGAGAAAAGGGAACGATTGTACACTGTTGTTGAGCATGTAAAATAGTGCATCTCCTACGGAAAACAGTATGGAGGTTCCTCAAAAAATTAAAAATAGAACTACCATATGAATCAGCAATTCCACTTCTAGGTATTTAGGAGAAGAAAACCGAAACACCAGTTTAAAGAGATATATGCACTCCTATGTTCACTGCAGCATTATTTACAATAGCCAAGATATGGAAGCAACCTAATTGTCCCGTGATAGATGAATAGATAAAAAAGATGTGGTATAAATATATTCAATGAAATATTATTCAGCTATAAAAGAAATCTTGTCCTTTGTGACAATATGAATGGACCCAGAGAGTATTATGTTAAGTGAAATAAGTCAGAGAAAGACAAATACTATATGATTTCACTTATTTGTGGAAACTAAACAACAAAACAAAGCAAGAGACTCATAGATACAGGAAACAAACTGTTGATTACCAGAGTGGAAAGCGGTTGGGGGTGGAGGGGAGTTGGGCAAAATATATTAAGGGATTAAAGGAACAAACTTCCAGTTATAAAATAAACAAATCGTAAGGATGTAATGTACACCATAGAGAATACAGTCAATAATACTGTAATAACTTTGTATAGTGACAGAGGGTAATTATGCCTATTGAGGTGCCCATTTCATAATGTATATCCAATCACTATGACATACACCTAAGACAATACTGAATGCCAATAATTCAATAAGGAAAAAAGAGAACATCTTCAATTCCTACACATCCTTAAAATCCATCAGATTCTTTTTAACATCACCTTATTTGAACTTTCTATAATACTTGATAATATTACTAATCTCTCCACCTTTCTTTTCTTTGTATATTCTGTAATTTATTTCCCCACTTTGTTTGCATTGCTACACCTGGCCCTCAAAATTTCTTTATAGTACTAAATTCACCTTCCAATTGGCCTTCCAGTCTCATTTTAACCAGCTGCCCCTGCCCCAAACACTTTGGAACAAATCACCTCTCAAAATATTTCATTTGACCACATTAGGCCACTACTCCAAATCATCTCACTATCTGCAAGTTCTTGTTAAATTCTTAGCAAGACTTATATGACCCTTTATGATCTGGTCTCTGCCAACCTTCCTGCCTTCATCTCTGGTCACCTCCCCCAAACACCATCTACTTTGAGCTTTGCTGCTCTCCGGTAATGCCATGCTTTTCCACCTGAGATTATATCCTTGCCTCCCTTAGCACCCTCTGGTTTTTCTTGTCTACCTGGTGAACTTTTACTCAACCTTCTGTACTGAGACAAAAGGACTCCCCCTCCCCAATTTACACCCTGCCAACTCCACAGGCACCCCTAAATTGGAATGATTTATTTACATGTGTCTTCCACTAGATTGTGAGTTTTAAAAAAGGAGGTAGCATGCTTTGTTTATACATAACTAATCAGCCCTTAGTACAATGCCTGGATCATAGGTGTTTTACTTGGTGAAAAAATGGAAAAAACACACCTAAAAATTAAAAGTTTGTAAAAAAACTCTTGAATTTCTTGCACGACTTCTGTGACTTCAATAATTGCTTCTGTTTACTTTACAACAACAAAATAATCTAGTCCTTTTTGGACTGTGTGTGTGTATATATATGGTCTGATTAGAATCTCCACTAGAATCAGAAAAGCACTCCCCACCTACATTTAATAACTTGCTTGTTGTTTTACAATACATTACTAGAGATGAAATCTCCTCTACCTTGTATAGGATAGAAATATAGAAGAAAGTATAGGAGGAAACGTTAGAGTTTATCAGTTATTTACGATGAATGATGAACTAAGGACCTGGCATTTAGCTGGAAGCTGAATTCAATCAGCTAATTAAGAAAGGGGGCTGAATTTTCTGACCAAGTACTTGTTAGTTTTAAGCCCTCTTGCTGTTTGTTTTTTTTATGATTTTTTAAAATTTATTTGACAGAGAGAGACAGAGCGAGAGAGGGAACACAAACAGGGGGAGTGGGAGAAGGAGAAGCAGGCTTCCCGCGAAGCAGGGAGCCCGACGTGGGGCTCGATCCGAGGACCCCGGGGCAATGACCTGAGCCGAAGGCAAACGCCCAACGACTGAGCCACCCAGGCGCCCCGCCCTTTTGCTGCTCTGACGTAACTAGGACCAGAGTCTGGTTCAGTCAGCTTTGGGGTTCCCCTCCCAAACACTCCTCCCTACGCCCAAGGCTAAGCTTGACAGGTACTAAGAACTTCGTCCAAGGGCCACCACGCAGTCTCTAACATTTGAAAGCAAGGAGTGCGGGGGTGGAGGAAAAGGAAGCGACTAACGAGGGACATGGGCGAAGGGCAGGAGGGTGCCTCCTCCGGGGTCGAGGAAGCCAGCCTACCTGCTCAGCACAGGTGACACCCGCGATGCCACCGCCGACCACCACAAACTTCCCCATCGTCGAGGGAGGGCGCGCTACCTCCATGCTCTCAAACTCCTAGAGCTTTACTGACAACCAGTGGGCGAGCCCCAGGAGCTTGGACTCTGGGAACGGAAGTCAAACAGGCCGGCTACTTCCGGTGCCGGTGCCGGTGCCTGAACCGGAGAATCTGAGCTACGGGTGCCCAGCAGCTCATACTTAGTGTCCTTGCGTATCCTCTTCTCACAGTGATTCAGAAGTGCAAAGATGTCTCTGATTCCAGGGTTTTGTTTTACGGCACTACACCTGAATGTGGTTTTTCCACGTAGATTTGATAAAGAGAAGACACAAAACAAAATAAAACAAAACAAAGTAAAGAGGACGGGTCGCCAAGAGAAGCTTGGCAAATTGTCGAAACACAGACCAGAGTTCTCACAGGACAGAGTATTCTCAGAATAAATGAACGACCCTGAAGTTTTCACTATTCATTCTTGCGAGGAGTTTAACATAGATTTAGCTTTTAAACTCTTATGCCGGGCGCCTGGGTGGCTCAATTGGTTAAGTGACTGCCTTCAGCTCAGGTCATAATCCCAGGGTCCTGGGATTGAGCCCTGCATGGGGCGGCTCCCTGCTTAGCGGGGAGCCTGCTTCTCTCTTTTCTGCTCCCCCTGCTTGTGCTGTCTTTCTCAATCTGTCAAATAAATAGATAAAATCTTTAAAAAAAACCAAAAAAACCAAAACCTTCTTAGGCGTGGACAATATCATCCCTCCCTACTTTTTGCCTAGCAATCCAAAATTTTATATTTTGGAAGCACATTCTTCATGGCATATTAAAGCAAAGCAATACTACTGAATTGTTCTCTGAGAAGTTATTTCCATTTACGATTTTGACCTCAGCTAAAATTTCCAGTAGTATAGAGAATTGCTGGCCATTTTGTCAAAATAAATGAACACTCCTTCCAAGTGTCTAGTAAATAGTATGTGTGAAGGATGAATTAAATATTCCCAATCTTAATTTCACTGCTAATACCTTTCTTTGTGATATTCATTTGTTTTGAGAAATGGCTAAATTTTTTTAAAAACTTTTTTTTACTATATTCACATTAGAACAGTATACACTATTTTCATTATTTTGTTATTTGCTATTGCCCTTACTCTCTCATATAATATTTTCCCTTAGTGTTTTACTATAATATTAAGAAGGTACAATTTCTCTAAATGGCTCACTCTAAAACTGGTAATTACAACCCCCGCCCTTTAATTCTTTAAACTCTGGAAATAACCATTCTATATAAATAAGAAAACATACCATGTAATTACAGATATTTACTGATATCCTAGTAATTGTTGTGTTTTAATAAATAGTAGGGAGTTCAATAGTGATTCTAATTCCTATTACCAGCTTAGAAAACCAAACAAAACATTTCTAGGAGGAGGAAATGGTACTTTAACCCCATTGAAATTTAGTCTTGTTTACTTCTGTAGCTTCTTATTTTCACATGATCTCACTCACACTGTGCTCTATCTGGATTGAACCACAGTGGCAGCATCCAGGATATGGCATGTTCTTTCTTTTCTGAGCATTTGCACATAATTTTTTCTATAATGTTCTTCCTCCAACTGATTTTCCCTAGCTAAATCCTCACTGACCTTTGGTTTCAACCAGCCATCACCTTTACTAAGAAGCTTTATCAAATGTCCTTAAGACTGAGCTAATTGTCTTCTCTATATGTTCCAATAGCACCTTGTCATCCCCTGAAATTAGACTTACATCACCTTATTTTAAAACTACCTACTATCTCACCTGACTCTCACCGGCCACCACCATAAACTCCTTAATCTCAGGGATTATTAGTAGACTCCCTTTGTATCCACAATCTCAGTTAGTAGTGAGTGCTCACCGTAGATGTCCTGAATGAATTAGTAATTAGGTGGAGCACGAGACTACCTGGAAGTCCTCTAAAGACCTTTAGATTCATTTTCTAGGGTCAAGATCCTCCTGTATCTTATGAAAGCTAGTTCCTCTTTAGGAAGGGCAAAGAGAAGAACAGCCTGGAACTCAGAGGAAATGGAGAAAGGCCACTGGAATGGAATTATTGTTTACTTATCTTGATACTTAACTATTTTCCATTTTAGTGTATAAGGCAATATTTTAACATCAGCTACACTGAAGATAAGAGAAATTCAGATTGTTTTCTGATAAATAAGTAAAATATTTCCCACAGCTAGTTATTATACTAAAGGAAGAGAAACGAACAACACTTTGTATTATTACTTTTTGTTTATTGAAATTGTAGTTCCCATAAAATAAATGGAAGTATAAAGATGATAAAACATATTTCCTTCCAAAAGAGAAAAATGCTAAATTATGGAATTAAATGGATGTGGCTTATTTTAGTTGATATAAAATACTGGTATTAGAAATAGTTGTATCAAAGAATTTTATCTATTTTAAAAAGAAAAAAATTATGTTTCAAATAATACTGCAAATACTACATTATCTTCTCTATTAATTTTGTTTTTAAGTTCACATTAACCCAAGACAGATTTATATGAACGTTTAGGCAAATTTCTCCTTTTTAGTGTTGAAACTCCTTTCATGTTTACATGAGACTTTGGAATTTTAGCCATCAAAATGATCTTCAATCAAAATACATTTGCTAACAACAATGATTCGCATTCAACATGCAAGGAAATTCACATGTCATCATTAGATTTGGGAGACATAAGTTTAATCTATTTCTGGTTTGGTTCAGGTGAGGTTATTTATCGTATGGATCACATTCTGAAGAACAGCTGTTTAAAAAAAACATTTTGTATAACACCAAAAAAAGTTGTTATTATTGTGGCTATGAAATGGCGTTCATAAAGGGAAAAGTTTTTCTTCAGGAGGGTGAAACATGTGTTTAAAGAGACACATCAGCTGGCTGTGCAATAATTTCCTTTTTGACATGTTGAAGTAATCTAATGTATTACCAGCTACAGAATTGTTACAGCATCTGGTGTTTGTAGAGAATTGGACACCCATTTATTTCCTCCTTTCTTTAGCCCCAGACATCTGCCCCAGGAACCTACACTATCTATTTTTGTATTTATCAATGCTCCATTTGAAAAGGAATATTAATGTCAATTATCAGATAGCCATGACTTATGGAATCATAATGTAATGATCTTCCTCATATTTAAAAGTAATTTAGAAATGTGCCATAACATTATGCAAACCTAATAATATTGCAAAACTTGGATAACTCTTTTAACAATATTCCTATTTTCCTTTTAAATCTCTAGATCCTTTTGCTCTCTCTCCTATGATGATCCATTTTCTTTCACCTGCCCCCAAAAGCACTTGTTTCTCAAAGTTCTATTATCTCTGAAGTTCTCTTCCCTCTCTCTACAACCTTTAGAACACATCTGCTCCTTGTTGGTTACTGAATATACATTCTTCTCCCTCTTCCTTACTAACAGAACCCTAATTTTGTATAAACTGACAATGTGGACCTAGAAATATCTGTCTTTCCGTACCTTTCTTGCTGCTGAGGTGGCCATGGGACACAGTTCTGGCCATGGAGTAAGTAGAAATCAGCCAGGGATTTAGGAAACCTTTGTTCTCCTGATAGAGGTACTGCTTGTTCCTCCTTTTCTCTTTCTACTTCTTTCTTAGGGGTAGAGGAACCATCTTGCAACCATGAGATCAGAAGTATGAAGATGAAGATATATTTGCTAATGATGTGCAGGGGAGAGATGGAAAGACCCTTCTCTAAGACTTGATTGAGCCCCTTTTAACACTCTGGATTGCCTACCTCCAGGCCTCTTGTTGCCTGAGACAAATAAATCTCTGTATGTTGAAGCCACTATTAGTTTTCTGTGCTTATTGCTGAACATTATCCTAACCTAGCCCCCTTTTAATTAGTTAACTAAGGACAAAAACATTTGATTCACTCCTGTTATATCATAACTTCAAGCTGTATTTATTCCTATTACTCATCTCTGATTACCACACAATGTGGCACTTGAAAGTGTATAAAACTGAAGGCAATATTTCATATCATGTGCAAAGTCAGACAAATTGCTTTTAGTTCAAAAGTCTGAGATTTATTGTGGCATTTCTCACTGTGATTTATCTGCAACATTTTGCTGTAGGTATGACATGATTTATAATTTGGGAACCCTGCTGATGGTTGATTTCCTTATGCCATTTCTGACCACAATTGATGTCAATTCATGTAAATCATTCCTGCAAATCCAGTCCAGATTAATCTTTTTGTAAATTTACTTTGTGAGAAGGTATGTCATATTTTATTAGACACAGATTTCAATTTGCTACCCTTTCTATATTGAGGTTGCTTAGCAGTGAGCAAGCAGTAGGCCACTGTAAAGACTAATTTTTAATTAATAATGTACATATCTCTATGGACATTCACATCTAGATCTATATCTGCATACCTATATATATTTTAAGGTTTATTTATTTATTATATATATAGAGAGAGAACGAGTGGGGGGGGGCAGAGGGAAAGAATCTCTAAGCAGCTTCCCCACTGAGCATGGTGTGGGACAGGGGGTTCAATCCCATGAGATCATGACCTGCGCCAAAACCAAGAGTCGGATGCTTAACCAACTGAGCCACTCAGGTACCCCTGCATAGTTATAATTATGTCTAGATCTGACTGAGATATCAAGTAGTTAACTTAAATACAACTGTTTCTAAGGCAATGGCTTTGTTTTCCTCCCAATCATCATGGATTCTACTTATTATCATGTAGTAAATTTCTAAGTCTAAATATATTCCTTCAGTTTCATAAAAGTTTGTGTTAATCAAAATTAGGCAAATATGCTTAATAAAGTCAATAATTTTTACTTTTGTAATGAAGAACATAAAATGAATTAACAGGTGAACATTTGGGTTATCAACACAATCATTCTAATGTTATTTAAAAAGATTAAAAATCATCACATTTTCAGTGACTTATTCATTCAAGAAATATTTACTGAGCATCTGCTATGAGCCAGACATTGTTCTGGGCACTTGGAATATATCTGTGAATAAAACAAAAAAAATTTCTGCCCTACCAGGGGAAGACAAACAATAAAATAAATAAAATACACAGGGTTGTATGTTTAAAAGTGCTAAATGTATG